TATATAATTTATTTTATTTTTGTATTTTTTTTGGACCACAGAAGCTACTTCAAATTTCAGATGTTTTGTCTGTTTCTCTATATTCACTTCGCGACTGCCCTCAGTGAATGCTTGTGTAATTTGGGGTACCAGTCAAATTTAGTTACCTTTGCTGTTCTTGTTTATGATGCTTCGATGAGCTTTGTTTTGGAAAAAAAACTCTTGTACCAAGAAGTACTTTTGAAATTAAATGGATAAAATTGAAAATGGTTATTTGTGCAGTACATAGATGTACTCATTACTAATGTAACCTAATTGATGAGTAATGTCGCTTTTTTTCTAAACAGGAGGTTCACTCACAGCTGTGTACCCAGAAGGCTGTTCTGCAGCGTATATCGGATAGTTTGAAGATGATGTGCTCTGACAAAAACACATCAATTCCAGAAGAGATAGAGGGACTATTACAGGAAGTCTCACAGTCATTACAGGAAGTGGAGGAACAGGTTTGATGCATTCTTTGAATGGTTCCCAACTTATTTTGTTTCAGCACCCAGATTTTACATTCATCAAAACATAACTTTTTGAGTTGGGAACTTTTATTTAAGATATCAGCAACATTTGTCTAAATTTTTTTTTCTTATTTTAATATTGACATTGTGAGCTGACAAGAGCACCAGAATATAAAATACTTTTACTCAATACTGAATTCAAATTCAAATAAATGTGCTTCGCTCACAGCTTTTAAACATCACACTCACTGCTATTTATCTCATCTTTAATGAATTGAGAAAGGAGAACATCTCACTCTAGAACAGATAGATCCCTGCATCAGAGACACATACTCAACTCACACACTCATTCACAGGTGTAAGAGGTGTGTTGCATCATCCATATACACACTCAAACACACACACACACACACACACACACACATCAGAGTAGTTAGGTAAGCCCTGTGAGTTTGTTAATTAAGAGTGATAATAGTAATTCCGTTGATTTTTTTAAATGACATTTGTCTGTTTTTATGTCCATTTCACTTGCTCACTCTCAGGTGAAGACAGCTGTGGAGAAAAGTGGCCCACTTCACAGGCTGGGTGCTAAAATCTCTGAGATTAAAGCAGGTCTGGGATCAGTTCAGAGCTGGTTGGAACAGAAGAGCCTGAACTTCACTGAAGCTGAGACCACACAGAAGGTCAGACATAAGTTTAGCTCAGTCTAAGATCTGTTTCACACATTTTGTATTGTAAAATTACAATATATTCATATTGGTGTCCATATAACACATTACAGCGTAACAGACGTAACGCCGCAAGTCAGTGCCGGGCCTATTTTTTTATTGTGTTGCATGCTGAGCTAATCAGCATTTATGAAGATGCTCAATAAACCAATCTGAAATACAGAGTAATGAGATACTTACACATACAGTAGTTTGAAAAAGCTCACTTGATGCACATACCCAATAACAAATTTTTAATTTATTGTTTAATCTATTAAAGGAGACATATTATGCCCCTTTTTACAATATGTAATATAAGTCTCTGGTGTCCCCAGAATGTGTCTGTGAAGTTTCAGCTCAAAATACTCCACAGATAATTTATTATATCATTTTGAAAATGCCTATTTTGAGTGGAAGCAGAAACACCCTGTTTTTCTGGCCTGTTTTTTTAAATGCAAATGAGCTGCTGCTCCACGCCCCCTTTTCCAGAATAGAGCTGCGACCTGCTAAAAACATCTGTTTTGGTTCTGATTATCATGTTAATCGCGCTGAAATCATGCGTTTTAAACCATATTAGTTTAAACTTCTGATATACGTTTTTTTGAGTGCACACATCCGAAGCACACGGACAGAAAGCGGCCACCAGACAGCATGTGAGTACTAAACTTAGTTCTCATTCACACACAAGTTACAAAAAACAGTCGGTTATGTCTGTGAAAGGTAAACGGCTGGGATATAAATCACTTGTTTATTTTAGATCTGTGTGGCAGCAGCAATATACAGTAGCCTAAATAAATCAATAAATCCACTGCTCTCTTGTCTCCTCTGAGGCTGGGACTCTAAACAGTGTTCTGTGCTCGTCTGTGCAGCCAAACACAGAACAGTTAGCATGCTTTGCTCAAACTTTC